GAGCTGTTTTGGATGGTTAGGGGCCTAATACAACCTGTCTCAGATGCCATACATGCAACAGTGCACTGTGAAGAACATGCCCACCATTTTGCAGATAACAAACGGTTCCGGCCCAAGCTACCTATCTGACCGCATCTCTGCCTATGAACCCACCGGGACTTTGAGATCTTCCGGGGAGACCCTGCTCTCGATCCCGCCTGCTTCTCAAGCTCGGCTGGCGGGGACGAGAGATAGGGCCTTCTCGGTGGTGGCTCCTCGGCTGTGGAACGCCCTTCCTACGGACATTAGACTAGCACCATCTCTAATGGTATTCCACAAAAAGGTGAAGACCTGGATGTTTGTGCAGGCGTTTGAGTAATTTAGTACAATCTGGTAATGGAACATAGGAATGGAACAATGGACGACGAATCTGGACTACGCTTGGATGATGAGAAGATTGGGTACGGTTGTTTTTTGTAATAATTGTGCATTGTAATTGCTTATTGGTAATTTATGGATAATGTGTTAAGTCAATTGTTATATGTTGTATGGAACCACTACTGTTTCTACTGTTTGTGAACCGCTGTGAGTCGCCTTCGGGCTTGAGATACAGCGGTATATAAGCAAAGTAAATAAATAAATAAATTAATTAACTAAATTATTTTTTAAGTATCTCTTTCTCTGAGTGGCAAAAAGCAAGACCTTACCCTGTCCTAGGATGAGCTAAAAGACTCCCTTCACTTTTTGAGTGCTCCATTACAGAAAAGTGCCAAAGAGCTGGTGCCCCTGCCACCATTTTCACATCCAGGCATTCAAAAGGGCTAGAAGTACTGTGAGTCGCCTTCGGGCTTGAGATACAGCGGTATATAAGCAAAGTAAGTAAATAAATAAATAAGTAGCATCATCACAGTGGTATTGATGCTTCTTTTATATTATGCTAGGACTGATTACATTCTTGGACTTCACCAGTCAACTACATTTTTTTGATGAATTGTCTTTTGCTGCTTTGATTGATTATTTGTTTTAACTATTGTGGCCTGTTCAATTGTATTCAGTTTGTTTTTAATTGGATAGCTTATGCACATCTGATGGGCTGAACCAAAGAGTACTCACCAATGGCTTCTCTTTACTCTAGAACAGTGGTTCTCAACCTGGGTTACCCAGATGTTTTTGGCCTACAACTCCCAGAAATCCCAGCCAGTTTACCAGCTGTTAGGATTTCTGGGAGTTGAAGGCCAAAAACATCTAGGGACCCCAGGTTGAGAACCACTGCTCTAGAAAGATGTAGCTACTGGGATATCTGATGGTTCAACATCAACTGTTCCTCAACCTCTTTATGCATGACTTTGGCCAAGTGTTGTTCAACCTCTTTATTCATAACTTTGATGAAGTAATAGAGAGCATGCGAAATGAAATTGCAGATGACACCACACTGAGAGGAGGAGCTCTTACTCAGATAACAAAACAGTGACTTGGCCAATAACAAAACAATGATGACCTGAATTGATTGTAGAAATTAGGCAAAAGCTTTTGTGCAATGTTCTACTTTTAAATAGGAAAAATCAGCTGTACAAATTTATAGTGGGTAATTCCTTTTTTGTCAGCAATATGTGTGAAATAGGTCTAGGATGTCTTAACGGACTACAATATAAACTTGAACCACAAGACAGAAAAAATGTGATGAGGAATTGAAAATAAGACAATGTGGTACCACTCCCTTTCAGTGTGGGATATACTGTATTTTGGCTGTTTGGATTGAAGTTACACAAAACTCTTGCTGTCTCTCACCAATCTTAGATGCTGTGACACATGTTACAGTTCCTGCTTGGGCCAGGGTTTGAGGATATCTATATTGTTAGTCTTGGCTCTAGGGCTTCTTCTTGTTAGAGTGCATGCAGCAGTTAGAGATCTTGATTTAAATACACTAATGTTTTCGAAAAAGAAACTAAGTTTTATTGTAGAAACTCCCTTGTAAGCTAGAAAAGTTAATCAGGGTTCTAATCTAATCAGCTACCTCTTGGGAGGTTGAGAGATGATCTGTGGGGAGAAGAAGAGGTGGAGAATCATTCCTAAGAGTTTACATCACAGAGGAGTCAGGATAGATAGACACAGTAGGAGGACATTTCAGGTTGCTCAGACGTACTCTATTAATACTGCCAACTGTGAGGCACCCTTCACTTTTCAGTGTGAAGTATTGTTGCATTTCCAACATTTTACTGTCACAGTAATTCATAAGATTACATAGTTTATGGAAGTCTAAATACATTAAAAACTATACATTATTTTAACATACATTACTCACAAAGGCATAAATGTTTTATTTTGATATTTGGCTAATGAAAAAGACAGGTGCATTAAATGTGTGAAAGCTAATTTTCTTTATGATGTTTCTCAAATCGTTCTGAAAGAGCTCTTAAGATACTTCCTGGTATTTTTTGGTGTTTATCACGGAGGTTTTCAATAGCAATCTTTGTCTGTTGAAACAAAAGGAGGACATATACTATTATAATCATTTTTTTCAAAAACTACAGAGAAAATAACATAAAAAACAGGAAATAACAAAAACTAAAATTGGTGTGCACAAGAATTAAATGGGATTGGATAATCTCAGTTTTGAGGCATTTTATTCTGTGAGTAGAGCTATGTGCCAAGAAAGAAAATAACCACCAACATTTATGTAGTATCGGCCTCTATATACAATATGATTTGTAAAGCTAGAATTCATTCCTTATCTTCTCAGAAAGAAATCTCAGATATGTCCAGAGGAGGGCAACTAAAATGATCAAAGATCTGGAGAACATGCCCTTTGAGGAGCAGCTTGCAGAGGAGACATCACTATGAACCTCTTCACATGACCCTTTTAGGTGAAAGGGAAGGTATGAAGGATGGCATGTGGTGCCCCGTGCACCCTCCCTCCTTCCCCCATCATATAATGGGGATGGGACAGGGTGCATTGACACCCTGTCCCTGTCCCCATCAGGTGAGAGAAAGGGCGGCAACGTGTGGCAACACATGATGCCCCATTGCCCTTTTCCCCATCATATGGGGCAATGAGGAGGAAAGTATGGGTAGCTTCTCAAAATACATTTTCCTCTCCATAGTGGTGGAGGAAGCACCTTTTGGCGCTTCCCCTCCACTTTGGGAGGAATGCTATGCATTGTGTGATGTTGCATGGCAGGCCCTGTCCAAGCCATGATTAAAAGAGGCAAAATGGAACTAAAATGCCCCATGTCAAGTGTTTCTATGTTTAAATATTTGAAAGACTGGGAGCAGGCTTATTTTCTGCTGCCCTAGAGACTAGAACTTGGAGCAATGGGTTGAAATTACAGGAAAGGAGAACCCATCTGAACATTAGGAAGAACTTCCTTACCATAAGAGCTGTTCAACAGGGAAACTCTTTGCCTCTAAGGGCCCATCCAGACAGGGCCTTTATTGCGGGAATGCCAACAATAAAAGAGGGGCTGTCCAGACAACGTTCTGGACAGTCCCGCATTAATTCGCTGCAAACCAGGAAAGCCCTGGTTTGTAGTGAATTAATTTGATAGTGGATTTATTCTGCGCTTTCTTGGAAGACGCGGGATAAATCCACTATCTCCAGTGTCCGGACGATAGTCCAGACACCATTCCCACAGTTTACTGGGCTAAATAAGCCCGGTAAACTGTAAAAATACCCCCCCCCCCAAGCCCTCAGACCCTTTTGAAAATTAAAAAGAACTTACCAGGCCCGCAGTTTCCCCCTGGAGCAGCTCTCCCGGTGCATACAAATGATGTGTCAGGAGAGCTTTCTGGGGTGGGTATGGACAGGCCCCCAGAAACATCTGTGTTATTTTAATGTGGATGCTTCTGGGACAAGGGCCTGTCTGGATCTGGCCAGAGTGTGGTGGAAGCTCCTTCTTTGGGAGCTTTTGAACAAAGGCTGGATGATCATTTTTGAAGGTGCATTGATTGTGGTTTTCCTGCATGGCAGGGAGGGGGGTTGGGCTGGATGGCTCATTTAGTCTCTTCCAGACTCTATTATTCTATTATTCTATAATTCTACGTGTAAAAACAAGCTTAGAACTGTTTGATGTATATATGCAAAACAGATTGTGAGTATAAGTAACAGATTTTGGTGTAATAAATGTTTTCCTACACAGAAATTGTGTCTTTTGTAAAGAACTTCTTTTTGTCAGTATTATATTAAGAAATCAAAAATATGCTGAACAAAACTGATCCATTTTTATTGAAGCAGTTCAGGTCAAAGGAAAAAAACTTTTTTAGGTTCAGGTATATAGATCTCCAATGTACACAGAAACTTTTTTGTGTGCATTGAGAGTATTTCTATTGTTGACTTTGGAACTCTGTCCCCAAGTATGCTAGAAGGACTCCCTCTTGCTGTCTTTCCTCAACAAATGACAGTTTTTATATTTCAAGATATTTCAAAAATTATTTACTCTACAAAGAAATGGCAATTATTTATGTGTTCTATTATTTTTAACACTTTTGCCATTTGTAACTCTAATTTTATAGATAGTTTAATCACAATTACAAATTAAATTTATATACACTCCCTGACTCTTTTCATTTTGCAATGTGCTTTGAATCTCAGCTTTTGGGGAAGGGGAGAGTGGCATAAATGTGTGTGTGTATGCACACGCAAAGGTGAGATGAAATAAATAAAGCCAATATTATACGTCCCAGAAAACCCACACATATCTTTCATTGCTTTGCAGATCTCTGTGTGTTTTCCTTTCGCATGTACACATATGATTTGATTCTTAGTATCACATTTAACAGTGTCATACAAACAGCAGGAAATAATTTCATGAGAACCTGGAATTTGACAACACAAGTGCTGAAAATGCAGAATTGAGGAGAGATTAAGGTTGCCCAGGGTGGAGACATACACATACTGAACGTCCACTCTTGATCAAGACAAATGTAAATCAGAATGCAGAAGATAATACAAAATGGAAAATATTATTCACAAGTTGATTTTATGTTTGTATTTACATAAGCAGGTTCGCTTACCTTTTGTGCTAGTTCTTCTGCAGTTATGTTTGGATCATACGGGATGGGTTCTCCTAGATATGTACGTAATTTGACAGGAAAGTGTCCAATAATGGGAAGGAAAAACCATCGATTTTTATCATGTAGCCATCTTGTAAATCCTGCAGAGAAACCCAAATAACTTCAGAATTGGGTATCATTTTGGAGACAAATATCTTGAATTTTAACAATTGAATCAATCCAACCCAGGAAAAAGCGTTGAATAAACCAAGGTCCAGACTACATATGAATACTGGGATGTTTGTGATCTCATCTTCAGTGTTAGCAGTTGAAGAATTCTAAACATTCCCCATAGTCTGATCTTGATGGACCTGATTTGGACGAGGAATAGCTTCTACTAAAATGAATGGGAAGTTTTCTCTCTATGCAATTTGCTGATATATCATGCCCAAATACAGATAGGATCTACAATATAGTTATACTGTAGGATCAAATCCTGCCTGCTGACAAACCAGGGTCCAAATCTGGATCAAGGATTTTTATTGATCATTTTTGAGGGGAAAATTTTGTATTAAGGGTCATGTCAGACATAGGCCTAATCACTTTGAAAATACAAACAAGTCCAAACAAGCACAAACAAGTCTGATCTTAAAAGTCAGCAAGGTCAGGTCTAGAAGCTAAGCTCTGGGATGAAAAGAGTATAAAAAAATGGGATACACAAAAATGGTATGAATATTTAACAGATTACATGCTCCAAGATTACATTATGGATAGGAAAAATAAATATATTAATGGATATCCTAGGGGGAAATGGGAAGGGAAATGGGAAGAATTGATAGTCAAGGAAAAGGGAAATAGAAAATACAAGGAACTGAACCAGACTATCCTTATGATCAAACAAATATATAGAATGATAAAGAGAATATATGACTCTTCCCTGAGGGAGGGAGGGAAGGGAGAGGGAGAGGGAAGTGAGAAAATGGCAGAAAAGGGATGGATATGAGTACAAGAAGAGTACAGAATTAATAAGGTGTTGACAATGGAAGTGGGTGAGTGTATATGGAATTTTTTTTGTATACGTTGCTTTTGTTGTTTTCTAAACATTCCTGTGAGGAAACATGGATATGTTGTATTCTATTCGTGTAATCCAATTTTTTTTAAAAAAAATGAAGCTAAGAAAAATTAATATTTGGATGGGGAACTGCCAAGGATAACCACGTGTTTTGTTGGCTATATGTGAAATGAAGACATTGGCAAAACTACATCTGAGTATTCCTTGCCTTGAAGGCACACATCTAGACTGTTAAATATACCTAAATCTTTTTCTTTCTTTTTCTCTCTCTCTCGTCACTGCATGGACATAACTTTGTTGGTCATAGTGTTACATCCTAAGTGTAGCACCGAGCCACTTGCCAACCATCAGATGAATCCCTTCCACAACCTTGCTTGCTCGAAAAATTCTTGCAGGAGAGGCTATGGAGCTTTATGTGGCCATAAGCCACTGTCTCAGATGTCTCAATTCTTTTGGGGGTGAAACATTTCCTAGGCTTGCTTCTGTTTGCTTTCACCCACAAGATCTTAAACAGGAAACCCAAAGTGGAAAGATTAGCATTCCACAAACCAAAAATCTAACTCAATATCAAAACATTCTTCTAAAATATTGTGATGATGAAAGTCTGTATGATACAGCCAAGGAAATACAAGATTCGTTTAATTCCCAAGGAAACATACAAGTTCAGTATTACCGAAAGTAGTACAGGGAAGGAATGTGGAAAGGTGGAGTGAACTGAATACCAATAAATTCGGGTGCATCTATATCATAGAATAAATACAGTTTGACACAACTTTATCTGCTTAGTGCTATGGAATCATGGTAGTTGTAGTTCAGTGAGGCACCAGAGGTCTTTGACAGATAAAGACTTAAAAAAATTGCAAATCCCAAGATTCCATAGTATTGAGCCATGGCAATTACAATGGAGTGAAACTGTATTAATTCTACAGTATAGATATTTTCTGATGAATGCTTTAAAGCACGCATGGCCCATGGGCCGAATCCAGCCCATCACATCATATCATGTAACCCGAAAGGCGTTCAATTATCATGCAGACTGGGAAAATAATTGTAAAAGAAACATCAAGAAAATGCAGGAAGTAATTTAAAAAATCAAACTCACGTGTATTCCCAAATGTTCTGCTGACTTCACGAATATTTTGTGTAAACATGGGAATGATGGGCTAAAAAAAGATGAAAGAATGGATGAAAAATATTTCAGATTTGCCATAGCAATTAGTTTGTTATGAAGGACTACCAATAGTTAACACTGATCACTATTATTATTTTTTTCCTATATTTATACCCCGCCCTTCTCACCCCTGAAGGGGGACTCAGGGCAGCCTCATAAACACCATACAGTGTCATCATAATAAAACAATCAACAATACATTAAAATCTTAAGAAGTTTAGACATGTGGAATTTGGCATTCTAATTCCTAAGAAAGCTATTATTACAAATAAATGTATCCTTTAGTGTATTCTACAGTAAAAACAACAAAAAACCAAAACAAAATAACCATTAAAAAAAACAAGAGCCTATTTTTTAGAATATCATTAAGTTCAAGTAAATCTATTTTTAATAGGCAAAGCAAAGTTTATTGAATAGTCTGTTGACCGCATCAACATTAAAAACAAAAAACATGCACGAACAGACAACAATCACCATCCCAAGACCCCCACAACAGCGAACCAACACACATTAGGTTAAAAGATGACTAAAAATATTATCATTAAAATGTCAAGATAAAATTTCATACCACAAAAATTAAAAACGAAGGTTAAAATGAAGGTCAAAATAGCTATTACACAATCCCAAGCCACTTCAGATATCTGCGTCACCCCTACAGTTGACCCTAATCGCCTCCAGATACGCAGTTCTCAGCTGCGTTGCTTTATAAAGGAAAAGGGCTGTTTGGTGTGTTATCTTCGCATTCTGGCCAGCCATTAAGAATGTAGTTTTGATATGGGGATCCCAGTGAGTCTTCTGTATGATGAATGGTCCGAGGTATTGATTTCTCTCTTTGTTGTACAAAATACAATTAAACAGTACATGTGTAATATCCTTTACCTCTGTCACCCCACAGATACAGAAACGCTCATTATATGGAACTTGGTTAAACCTTCCATGTTTAGCCATTGTATCTGTCTGTTTGAATCGGGTTCTAGTGAATACCCTCCTTAGATGTTTGGGCATTTCTGTCTTTAGGTATTCGGCTGTTTGAAAAGTATGTTTAAAGCGACTTAACCATTTCAGTGAGCCGGCTTTACTAAGGGTGGCAATGTCTTTCTGAGCCTCTATATCCTGTATTCGTTGTGCCACCATTTTTGGATCTAATTCCTCTAGTAGATTTGGGTATAGAATTGGAAGTCCACAAGTCCTGATGCATTTTGTCAGTTGCACTAGCCAAGAGGACTGATGTTGGTTTTTGGTCTGCTCTAACAGGCACAATTTTGGTAGCCTATCATTTGCCATGGCTTTTAGTTTTATCCAATATTTATATGCCCTAATTTTGGATAAACCATCGACGGTATATGTTTCTGCTCTCACTGATGCAGCTGGGATTTTTAAATAGGGGCAGTACAACATTTTCAGTACTTGTAACTGGCAAAATGGATTAATATTCTCCCTAGGTATTTGTAGTGCTAGACTATTTGTTGGAGGGTGCATTTCCACTATGGAAGTACTGTCATGGCTCAATGCTATGGAATCATAGGAGTTGTATTAGCCTTTTCTGCTATAAGAAAGTTACAAATCCCAAGATTCCAGAACAGTTAAAGTGGTGTCGACCTGCATTATTTCTACACTGTCAATGCACCTTCATTACTATGTCTGACATCCTGATGATGTAGTATGCATCAGAAACCCTTATAAGTTATTTGACCCAATGGGGTGAGAAACTCTAAAAGAGAAGCTGTTCTTATTAATGTTGTCCAAAAAGAAAAGGAGAAGTAGAGAAAAGTTGCTACTAAGAATTAACCCCTTCTCACCATGAATAATTTTCAATTATGTTTTTAGGAGACAAAAATTAAATTCCTCACTGCAGAATTTATGTTATGCATTTCTATATTTTATTTAAGGAGCCCCCAGTGGCACAATGGGTTAAACCTTTGTGCTAGCAGGACTGTTGACCGATAGGTCTGCAGTTCTAATCTGGGGATAGAGGGTTGAGCTTCCTCTGTCAGCTCCAGCTCCCCATGCAGGGACATGAAAGAAGCCTCCCACAAAGATGGTAAAACATCAAAAACATTTGGGCGTCCCAGGGCAACATCCTTGCAGACTGCCAATTCTCTCACACCAGAAGCAACTTGCAGTTTCTCAAATCACTCCTGACATTATATATATATATATATATATATATATATATATATATATATATATATATATTTGCATCATTACTTTAGACATTTAAGGTTGCTTCAGAGCTGCAGTACTAATAAATAGCATGTACAAAACAAGTCTATAGTCAATTTCTGCAATGGCATCCCATTAGGGTGAATTGAACAGTTGGGACAGTTGATGTATTTTCAATTTTATTGTTGTTTTTCCCCTTTAGCCTTAAATTGTAATTGTGTGTGCAATATTAATTACAGAATCCAGAAAGATGTACACTGTCACAACAATGCTGGTACTACTGCTGGTAGAGACGAGAAGAAAAGGTCTGCAAGGGAAAAAGAAGCAGCTTGGAGTTGGAAAATTTTCACAGCACAGCAGTGGCTTTTCTGACTGCTGAGGAGATGATTTTGGAAGAAGTCTGAAAGGCGAATGAAACCTCAGAGAGAGAAAAAATACTTGCATTTAGCATATATGTCACTAACAGGATCTTGCCGTTTGTCTGCCTTCCCTAACCACCGCTAAAAATTTGCTCCCTTATTTCTCCAGTAATCAAATATATTCCCTTCCCTATATACTGCAGTGGATTTCTAGCACAATTTTAAGACAGGAATTAAATAGAACCAAGCAATCACTCACCACTTTAGCTTCTAAAGCCACATGGGCAAAACCAGTACGGTTATCCCACATTAGTTCATAGTTGTGGTCACTAAATACTGCTTCTTTCATTCCACCTGGTATAATCCCCAATACCTGGCCTTTCTTCAGGATTTCAACACATTTGGCTCTGTTGCCAGGAATGCAACCAAACAGATCAAAGTAAAGTTTTAGGCCTGTGAAAATATGTCATGAAAAGAAAAAAACATTTCACAGAATATCTGTTTAAAGAATTGTGTTTGTCAAGAAATCCTACTTCTAAGTAATGCTATGTCCTGTGTGTTGGGAATATCAGGAAGCTTATTTAGTGAACAGCTGCAATATATAAGAAAAATGTTCTGTGAGTGGCTAAGTAATAACTGCCCCAACTTATTGTTATTATTGTTGCAGGAGTTTACGAACAGGAACAGGTGTCTTGTGCCAATTTAAATTGTCTTCTGTTCACTGAAGTGACTTTATAGTGGCATTACCTCCTTTCTGCCATTGGATCTCAGAAATCACCAGACTAATGTCACAGAACTGACTGGCTGAGATCAACATACAAGAACCAAAAAGAGGCAGATGACGGACAGTGTGATTGAAGAATTATGTTATGTCAGATCTAAACATTCCCCAATAGTATGAAACACACATTATGTTAGCAGAAAAATAGATAACAATAGTTCTAAATAATGTTGAATACTATAGCCCGAAAAAACCCACAAGAACTTAATCTTGAATACTGTTATATCATCTGGCACTCAGCTGACTTAGTGAATTGCAAGACTAGTGCAAAGGTAGCAATATGACCCAAAGATCATGTAGAGTTTTGGGCTCATCTACTCTGGATAATCTCTTTCAATGTTTGCTTTGTGAATTCCCATGAGAGATCTCCAACCCACTAAAGCTGATTTAAAACAGAAGCACTGCCTACAATATGTTAGCTGATAGTTATTGTGACCACTCGATTTAGATTGAATTGCTGAGTAAGTGAAATATTTCCATCAGGTCTTCAAAACATCTTGCCCACTACGCTGAATACAAGTTCAAGTTCACTTTATTATGGTCAATAGCCAGCTAATGAGAAGAAGGACACAGTCAGGTTTCTCATATAAATTAACATATATTTTTAATCCCTGGGTAATATTTTTCAAAGCAACAAATTACCAAAAATTCATGAATCTTGGGACAAGGCTTTAGAAAATGGGTTGGCTAAATTCCATTCTAGGTAAGGTTGCTGAGGCCACAGCAAGGGGACAGGAATTAATTAGCACCAAGTTTGGCTAAAGATGAAGCAACTGAGGCCACAGGAAAGTGGGTAAATCCAGATGTAATTGTATGGGTTGGGATATTTTCCCATCCGTTCCTTACTACAAAGCTTTCATTTGGCAAGGAACTCAGTTTTAGGAGAAACAGCAGGAAAATTATGTGCACTGGATGGAGAACTTTTCAGGCCACATCCAAGCCACTGGCCAATTATTTCCTATCATAGTTTTGGAGATCACAAACTACGCAGAGTTGACTCTATCACTGATGTCACACTAATAATATGGTTATTTATTGCTTTGAACACAAGGTCCTGCTACATTGACACAGATTCCTTTTGAGAGCTAAATCCAACTTTTATATCTAAGTAAGAGTAGACAAATTGGCTCAATACAACTTATATAAAGACTTACATACTTTCACAGACCCTTACATAGGACAGTGATTGTCAACTGCTCAGTAAGGGCTTTCTGTTCCTGTGAGCTCCTGTCAGTTTGTCATGCCTACCCCACCAAGTGGGTTTGGCTCAAAGGACCAATAATTGGACTTGCTACCATAACTTTCCATAATTTAAACAATGTTCAATATTATAATTTAAATCTGGAGGTAGAAGTACAGTACCTGGTACAATATACAACTTATTGTCGACCACGGAATGACAGAGTCTCCCTGTCAGTAGAAATATTTTATTTACCAAAAAACTATAGTCATAAGCCAAAGCACCGTGATATAAAACAATAATTCCAGGTCCTTCCGGTATATTCTCCATTCCGATAATCTCATAACCTAAAGAAAATACAGAAGAGAGGTAACCATCTATTTTTGTACATAAACATAACACATCTATTTATCATTTAGTAGAAAAAAATACAATAGCGGAGAAGATAGTGAGGAAAATTGGAAAGCAGTCTGCATGGGCCACAGTGTTGAACTGGGATGAAAGTCACCCTCTGGCATCTAGATGATATCTAGGTACTTCTGTACCTTAATGTGGTAAAAATTGATTAATCATAACTTTTATAATCATAATGTCAATTCAATTTTAGCCTATAATAACAGAAGTTGGAGTTTTACTTCAGAGCTTCCCCAAAACTTTGGAATAGCCCTGCACTTCAGGGTTGTGTGAAAAGCTGATCTGGTTCTAATTTGGAACCAGTCCTGCTGTTCACATGGGCTAATGCCATCCTCCTATTTCTCCTGTGCTTCATGGCATGGGGGAAATGGATGACAATATTGTGTGTCATTTGTCACCACAGTAGCAGTCATGGAGCTCCAGGGCACCAGGTACCTTTGCCATTTTCCGTAGATGAACCCAAATTACTTAGAGAGAGAAGGTGACCACCTCCACCCTTTCCCCCTCCTCACTCCAAGTCACAGGGACATCATCAAAGGTCCCTACAGATGGCCAGGAATTCTCTAGGCAATTGATATAAAAGGTAAAGATCACTATCCTGTGTGGCTTAACTGCATAAGGACTCACAGGATGGTGAGAAATTCACTTATGCTGCTGATGTGGTTTAGGAACAAAGCAGTGTAAAATCCCTTGCAGAATTTGATGCAGGTCCAAAACAGCAATGCTTCAGACTGGCTCAATATTTAGGTATTGATGTATATGAGTCCTAAGGTCAGAAAAAGTTCCACACTTTTGGATACTAAATTCTCAACATTCAAGAGAAAGACTTTTTCCTTGAAGATTTCTTAAAATGGAACATGAGAAACTATATATGGGAAACAAGGGCTTTCCCACCAGACCTTTGGTTGAGGTATAATTTTACTATGCTGCATTTATTTAACTCAATTTTTGGCAGCAAAATCCTGTATATAAGTACTTAGGAGTGAAATCCATTTATTTCCACTGTTATTAGTAAGTTTGTTTTGGCTTTTTTTTTTTTTGTTGTGTCAGGAGCGACTTGAGAAACTGCAAGTCGCTTCTGGTGTGAGAGAATTGGCCGTCTGCAAGGACGTTGCCCAGGGGACACCCGGATGATTTGATGTTTTGGCTAGAAGCTTAGGTTTCAGTATGTGTGTAGTTTTTCAGGATTGTTAAAATGTGGTTAAATATTAATATATAATTTGAGATTTACTGCCTGGAAGTGTCTTCATTTTTTATTTAAAATAATATGCTGTTTGAAAAGAGAAAGTTTTCACAGTGTTCTGTCAGTGCATATATAAAAACAGAAATGAAATACACCAAAGGAAGAAACATGCTTCAAGAAGCATGCTTCAAAGAAACCAAAGATAGACTGTAATCATGATACAAACTTCTGTGTGGGTTTAAAGCTGGCAAAATGGCAAGGATTCAGCATCAACCACAAAAATGTTCAAATATTCAGCACTAACCAAAAAAAGATTCAAAATTAGTTCAAGGGGGAACACCTCATCGTAGGACACTGCTGAGATGCAGCCAGGATGGAGTCTGACGGAGCTCATCTCATGATGCAGGGCTACTTCTGGCAATGCTCTGTCCTAGCTCTGTGCATGCTGCATCTTGGCACCATGATAAAACATAACCCTGAGAACATGTTCCCGTAGATTAAGGTGAAGACAGCATGGGACAAAGGCAAGGACAGACAAGAAACACCATGTGATGGTAAGGGTGATGTGAGGCACTGTCTGATGGTTTTCCACACTGCCGCCCGGCTTATGGGCATCCATGTGATGAGGTCCTAAGACTGACAATCTGGGCAAAGACAGGTTTGGTTGGGCTTCATTCTACTTATAGTATGGAACCTGTCTGTAAACACAAGATGATGAGGCAAGAATTGAGGTATGGCCTTTGTAATAGGAAACATAGAGGAGGTGTACTCTCAGAGCAATGTGCAGGAGACAAAAAAGAAAGATATGGTGCAACTGCTAGCAGCCATAGGATACAAAGATGTAAACCCTTTGCCATTTTACCAACATATTGTAAAGGGCACTATAGATGTACAAGGAAATTATAAAAAATACATAATTTTTAATCATGACTGGATTATATTATTGTGTTCATTATGCAGAGAAAAAAGAATATGTATTAACAGAAATGTGAGCTTTAATTGAAAAATTAACTATATAGAAGAAAATACTTGCTGGAAAATAACATAATAAATAATAAAATATTATTTGTAGTATAATGCAATTACCTCAATGTGTATTTTAAATGGGAGACTCATATCAAAAGGTAGCAATCTAAATTTGTTTCTTGAATAATTCTATAATGAAGAAATGTCTTTCTGATATAGAGAATCATAGAGTTGGAAGAGAACCTGTAGGCCATCCAGTCCAAATATGATGCTTGTCACAGAAAGAATATATAAGCAAATAATAACCAAGGTCACTTAGATTGCATATTCTCAGCACATTTTTCAGTTCCTGTAAAATTTGTTCATGTAGATTGGGTACCTTTTAGAAACAAACTCCATATATAGTTTCCGTATGATTTAAGAAGAGATGTTTTGAAAACTCTCATTTAAGTGTATTATACCTTCTCATCAGCACTGGGATTTTAGATGGCTAGTCATAGAAATAGAGGCATTCTTCAGTAAGTATTAAGAAAAAACTTTGCTCACCATGCAAAATCTCCCCAAGTTTAGCCCCGAAATATGAAATTAAGTGTCTTGGTTTATCCCATTCTTTGTTCAGCATTTCTTCTGGTGCATTATTTATTTTCTTGTGTATAAACACAAAAAGTGAAATTATACTTATTACAATGTATACAATGAAGACAAATGTCACTCCCACAAGGGTAGGCACACAAATTAACCACCAAACCGCAAAATATGCATATTCATGCAGAAAAGTAAAGCTAATCCAGTCTTTCAGTGTTGCAGTGAACCAGTCCAGGGATTCCCATCTTGAAGCATCAGGTGTGGTTGGAGACATCATTTCCTATGCAATGGTAAAACAAATTTATTTATTTATTTATTTATCTTATCTATATCCCACCTTTCTCTACCCCAAGGGGGACTCAAGGCAGTTTACATATGGTACCTTCGCAGTGCCTTAAAACATATAATGTTAACTTAAAATAACTTGAATTAAAATTAAAACATAAACATGATTAAAATACATTCCAATGTTAATCACGCCATTTAGGGTCAGAATCTAAAGCCACTCCATAGTCAAATTGCACTATTTTTCAAAAGCTTGCTCCCAAACCTAGGTTTTTACTCTCTTTCTGAATACTAGGAGGGAAGGGGCTGATCTGATATTACTAGGGAGGGAGTTCCACAACCGAGTGGCCACCACTGAGAAGGCTCTGAATCTTGTCCCCACTAGCCATGCTTGCGAAGAAAGGGGGACAAAGCCTCCCCAGACAATCTTAATCTCCAAGATGGTTTATAGGGGGAGATATGTTCAGACAGGTAGGCTAGCCTATAAGTGTTTAGGGCTTTATAAGCTAAAACCAGCACTTTGAATTGTGCTCAGTAGCAGAATGGAAGCCAGTGTAGCTGATGTAATGGGGGTGGTATGCTCCCTGTACTCTGCTCCGGTGAGCAACTTGACTGCCACTCATTGGACTAATTGAAGCTTCCAAACAGTCTTCAATGACAATCCCACGTAGAATGCGTTGCAGTATGAGATGTAACCAGAGTGTGGACCACCATGGCCAAGTCTGCCTTCCTAAGGTATGGGTGCAGTTGGCGCACAAGTTTTAATTGTGCAAAAGCTCCCTGGCCACTGTCAAGACCTGGGGTTCCAGGCTCAATGATGAATACAGGATCACTCCCAAGCTGCAAACCTGCACCTTCAGGGGGAGTGTGACCCTATCTAGTAAGTGAAGTTTTCTTGTTCATCTGTCCTCTGGAAAATAAATATCCAAAGTCCTCCACTTTGAACTGTTATCCATAATTCATGTTAAATCATCTGTGGTGGTGATTATTGTAGAACTCCATATGCATATTGGTGATTTGCAAGGTTCCAGTTTGAACTCCATGAAGCAAGTACTTTGGAAACAAAAAATTATGTCATAACAGACTTCCTGTAGGACCAGAAATGATATTGCATAAAGTCATCAAGCATGGTTGCTTACACCTGACTCTTCATGCATCCACATGTTGATTGGTCTTTCAAGACCAAATCCATGGCAACGACCAGCTGTTTGGAACACCAGTGGTGCCTTCAAATTGCCCTACTCCTTCACTAATCTAAGACCTTCCACAATCACTGGGATTAGGGCCCCAGAACCCCTGCAAAAGTAAAAAAAACATGAATAAGGAATCTAGGTTCCCCTGGTATAAACTGACCATACAATTGCACTGAAAGACCAAGGGATTCCTAATCAGAATATTTTAATCACATTCTCAAATAATCAAATGAAGTTAAATCTCCAGATCTGAAGGGCCAACTTGTATTTAATGTTGTTCATTTGTTCAGTCATTTCCGACTCTTCGTGACCTCATGGACCAGTCCACGCCAGAGCTCCCTGTCGGCCGTCACCACCTCCAGCTCCTTCAAGGTCAATCCAGTCACTTCAAGGATGCCATACATCCATCTTGCCCTTGATTGGCCCCTCTTCCTTTTTCCTTCCATTTCCCCCAGCATAATTGTCTTCTCTAAGCTTTCCTTTCTTCTCATGATGTGGCCAAAGTACTTCATCTTTGCCTCTACTATCCTTCCCTCCAATGAGCAGTCGGGATCTTCTTGCTGTCCAAGGCACTCTCAGAACTTTCCTCCAACACCACAGTTCAAAAGCATCTATCTTCCTTTGCTCAGCCTTCCCTATGGTCCAGCTCTCACATCCATAAGTGACTATGGGGAATACCATTGCTTTAACTATGCGGAAGTAGATCAGTTCTATGAGGATCTGCAGGACCTACTGGATAATACACCAAAAAGAGACATTATTTTCATTACAGGAGACTGGAATGCCAAGGTGGGAAGTCAAATGACAACAGGAATCACAGGCAAGCATGGTCTGGGAGAACAAAATGAAGCAGGATGCAGGCTGATAGAATTTTGCCAGGAAAACTCGCTGTGTATAACGAATACTCTCTTCCAACAACCTAAAAGACGGCTTTATACATGGACCTCACCAGATGGTCAACACCGAAATCAGATTGACTACATCCTTTGCAGCCAAAGGTGGCGGACATCCATCCAGTCGGTGAAAACAAGACCTGGGGCTGACTGTAGCTCAGATCACGAACTTCTTATTGCCCAATTTAGAATAAAACTAAAGAGATCAGGGAAAATACACAGACCAGTTAGATATGATCTCACTGTGAGTGATAGCTTCCCTTTTTTCTAACATGACTACAATCATTATTAAAAATTTTCAATGTTTAGCAGGGTTGGGCCACGTATGGTGATGATATGTTTATCACGACAGCTTCATGTAATGTGTACATGAACATTTACACACAAGTTTAATTTGATAGGTTCACAGCTTGGGAGTAATCCTGACTCATTGCTGAGACTGACAACAGTAGCCAGACTGCTCACTGGAACGGCATTATTTATTTATTTATTATTTATTTATTTACTCCTTTTGTATACCGCAAATATCAGCCGCGGCGACTCTAAGCGGTTTACAGTAAAATGTGCAACATTGAACAATATATATGACAAACAACCACAAACAATACACAAAACGTCATCACGCCTCGAATAGAATCAGATCCAAATCTCATAGTCGTTTTACCATTCCTTGTTCAGTATGCCGTCTTCTGAGTCAGATGTTATTGCATGCTTATCCGAACGCCTGTTCGAAGAGCCACGTCTTAACCCGCCTCCTAAACGCCAATAGCGAGGGGGCCTGCCTGATCTCCACTGGTAGGGCATTCCATAGCCGAGGGGCCACCACCGAGAAGGCCCTGTCCCTCGTCCCCGCCAGCCGCACTTGTGATGCTGGCGGGACCGAGAGCAGGGCCTCCCCGGACGATCTTAACATCCTCGCCGGTTCATAGGCGGAGATGCGTTCGGAGAGGTAAGTGGGGCCGGAACCGTTTAGGGCTTTATAGGCTAAAGCCAGCACCTTGAATTGTGCTCGGTAGCAAATTGGCAGCCAGTGGAGCTGGCTCAACAGTGGAGTGGTGTGCTCCCTGAGTGCCGCTCCCGTTAGCAACCTGGCTGCCGAACGCTGGACCATCTGAAGCTTCCGGGCAGTCTTCACGGGCAACCCCACGTAGAGCGCGTTGCAGTAATCTATACGGGATGTGACAAGAGCGTGGACTACCGTGGCCAAGTCCGACTTCCCAAGATACGGGCGCAACTGGCGCACGAGCCGAAGCTGTGCAAATGCTCCTCTGGAAACCGCTGAAACTTGGGGTTCCAAGCTTAGCGAAGAATCCAGAGTCACACCCAAGCTGCGAACCTGCGTCTTCAGGGGGAGTGCGACCCCGTCCAACACAGGCTGTAACCCTATACCCTGTTCGGCCTTCCGACTGACCAGGAGTACCTCTGTCTTGTCTGGATTGAGTTTCAATTTTTTCACCCTCATCCAGTCCGACACAGCGGCCAAGCACCTGTTCAGGACCTGGACAGCCTCCTTAGTAGTGGGTGGAAAGGAGTGACAGAGTTGGAGATCTGCCCAGTTAAATGCGCAATTCCAGAGGTTAGCCAGAAGAGATAAGGAACTATTTTTAAATAAGCAATGCATGGAAGTGGAAGAAGACAACAGAATAGGAAGGACAAGAGACCTCTTCCAAAAAATTAGAAACATTGGATGTAAATTTCAGGCAAAAATTGGCATGATAAAAAAGCAGAGACCTAACAGAATCTGAAGAGATCAAGAGAAGGTGGTGAGACTATACAGAAGATCTGCATAGGAAGGATAATAATATCAAGGATATTTTTGACGGTGTGGTGAATGAATTAGAACCAGACATCCTGAGGAGTGATGTTGAATGGGCCTTAAGAAGCATTGCTAACAACAAGGCAGCAGGAGACGACGGGATCCCAGCTGAACTGTTTAAAATCTTAAAAGATGATGCATGCCATATGCCAGCAAATATGGAAAACACAAGAATGGCCATCGGACTGGAAAAAATCAACTTATATGATGCTGTCAAGGTGATGCATGTCATATGCCAGCAAATATGGAATACAAAAGAATGGCCATCAGATTGGAAAAAATCAATTTATATCCCCATACCAAAAAAGGCAAATGCTACAGACTGCTCAAAACTTTCATACAGTGGCCCTTATTTCTCATGCCAGTAAGGTAATGCTCAAGATCCTGCAAGGAAGACTCCAGCAATACATGGAGCGAGAGTTGCCAGATGTTCAAGCTGGGTTTAGAAAAGGCAGAGGAACGAGAGACCAGATTGCCAATATCCGCTGGATAATGGAGGAAGGCAGGGAGTTTCAGAAAAACATCTACTTCTGCTTCATTGACTATTCTAAAGCCTTTGACTGTGTGGATCATCATAAATTGTGGCAAGTTCTTAGTGGGATGGACATACCAAGCCACCTTGTCTCTCTCCTGAGGAATCTGTACAAGGACCAAGTAGCAACAGTCAGAACTTACCACGGAACAACAGACTGGTTCAAGATTGGGAAAGGCGTACGGCAAGGCTGCATACTCTCACCCAACCTTTTTAACTTGTATGCAGAACACATCATGCGATGTGCGGGGCTTGATGAATGCAAAGCTGGGGTGAAAATTGCTGGAAGAAACATTAACAACCTCAGATATGCAGATGACACCACTCTGATGGCCGACAGCGAGGAGGAGCTGAGGAGCCTTCTAATCAAGGTGAAAGAAGAAAGCGCAAAAGCCGGGTTGCAGCTAAACATCAAAAAAACCAAGATTATGGCAACAAGAATGATTGACAACTGGAAAATAGAGGGAGAAAATGTGGAGGCCGTGACAGACTTTGTATTTCTAGGGCAAAAGGACTGCAGATGCGAACGTATGTAATCCTAGAAAAATCAGAAGAGAAAACACGGCTTCCGGCTATATATCTTCCTCCTTCCCTTCTTTTCCTCCCCCCTTCCCTCTTCCCTTCCTTCCGTCTTTTCTCCCTCTTTCCTTTTTTTTTTTTTTTGGTGAAGGGTGGGACTGGATGATCCTTGGGAGATGCTATATGTCCAACTTCTTATAGTGGTCCTATTCATACACTGGCAACAAAGATCCGCATAGTCAAAGTCATGGTATTCCCTGTAGTAATCTACAAATGTGAGAGCTGGACCTTAGGGAAGGCTGAGCGAAGGAAGATAGATGCTTTTGAACTGTGGTGTTGGAGGAAAGTTCTGAGAGTGCCTTGGGCTGCGAGAAGATCCAACCAGTGGAGGAAAGTTCTGAGAGAGTCTTGGACTGCGAGAAGATCCAACCAGTCCATCCTCCAGGAAATAAAGCCCGACTGCTCACTGGAGGGAAAGATACTAGAGACAAAGTTGAAGTACTTTGGCCACATCATGAGGAGACAGGACAGCCTAGAGAAGACAATTATGCTGGGGAAAGTGGAAGGCAAAAGGAAGAGGGGCCGACCAAGGGCAAGATGGATGGATGGCATCCTTGAAGTGACTGGACTGACCTTGAGGGAGCTGGGGGTGGTAACGGCCGACAGGGAGCTCTGGCGTGGGCTGGTCCATGAGGTCACGAAGAGTCGGAGACGACTGAACGAATGAACAACAACAACTATGCGGATCTTTGTTGCCAGCGTGATGTCTCTACTCTTCACTATTTTATTGAGATTGGTCATTGCTCTCCTCCCAAGAAGTAAGCCTCTTCTAATTTCCTGGCTGCAGTCTGCATCTGCAGTAATCTCTGCACCTAGAAATACAAAGTCTGTTACCGCCTCTACGTTTTCTCCCTCTATTTCCCTGTTGTCAATCATTCTTGTTGCCATAATCTTGGGTTTTTTTATGTTTAGCTGCAACCCAGCTTTTGCGCTTTCTTCTTTCACCTTGATTAGAAGGCTCCTCAGTTCCTCCTCGCTTTCGGCCATCAAAGTGGGATCATCCGTATATCTAAAGATGTTAATGTTTCTTCCAGCAATTTTTACCCCAGTCTTGCATTCATCAAGCCCTGCACATCACATGTATTTAATAATATTGTATTTAATAAAAAAAAATTAATTTTGGATCTGGAGCTGCAAAATTATAGGGCATTGTTTGGGTATCAATGTTTGAGCATTGAGAAAAATATTGTGCCAGTTGCCGATTAAGGTAAAGGTAAAGGTAAAGGTTTTCTCCTGACATTAAGTCCAGTTGTGTCCAACTCTGGGGGTTGGTGCTCATCTGCATTTCTAAGACAAAGAGTTGGTGTTGTCCGTAGACACCTCCAAGGTCATGTGGCTGACATGACTGCGTGGAGCGTCATTACCTTCCCGCTGAAGTGGTACCTATTGATCTACTCATATTTGTATGTTTTCAAACTGCTGGTTAGCAGAAGTGGAGCTCACCCCACTTCCAAGATTCGAACCACTGATCATTTGGTCAGCAAGTTCAGCGGCTCTGTGGCTTAACCCGCTGTGCCACTGGGGGTTCTTTAGTTACTATGTATCTTCCATTTAAAAAAAACATTCAGATCATCCATAATACAAGTTAAAATAATACCAATTTGGCTTGCAAATATTATATTTATTACTTTAGAATCCAAATTTACAAGCCAGGTTTTTATGTATCATTCCATGGCAGTCTAAGGCCCAATCTTCACTGCCATATAATTCAATTTCTGAATATAGATTATCTGATTTAAATTGAAATATATGGTAGTGCAGAGACAGCTCAGGTCCAGGCTATTTGGCTGATCACATCTCCTTGTATAAGCTTGTCTGGGCCCTGAGATCTTCAGGAGAGACCCTTCTCTCGGTCCCATCTCCATCTCAAGCTAGGTTGGTGGGAACGAGAGAGCGGGCCTTCCATCTCAGTGGTTGCCCCTCGACTCTAGAACTCCCTGCCCTGGGAAGCCAAAATGGCATTCTCCATGCTACCCTTCTGGTGGAAGGCTAAAACCATTTTATTCAGGCAAGCTTTTAAAGAAGATTTTAAAGATCAGGGGCTGCTGTAGCTTTTAGTTTTGAATGTTTTATGGATTTTATCTGAATGTTTATAATATAAAGGATATTTAATTCTGTTTTAATGTTTGTATATTTGTATAAGGCATAAATAAACATAAGAAACATAATAATAATAATAATAATAATAATAATAATAATAATAATAATCTAATTTAAAGCAGATAATCTGTATTCAGAAACTGAATCATATGGGCAGTGTAGATGGGAACTAAATGGGCATGGAAATCCAGACCCATCCTGAATTAACTCCTGGCTATCCTGACAACATTTGTGTACATCTACTGAGCATCACAGGAATCCTGAGTCAACCAATATTTGCCCCACTATACTCAAAGTCAGGAGATGGTCTGGAGTTCACTTGAAACTCCAGAGTAACCCATAGCTTTGGGGCAGTGTGCACAGCTAGATCATCTGCTATGTACACCAGACATCATCAGTGTAGAGAAAAGGAATGTATAGTAGTCGTGTTACTACCATCACCACTTTCAGCCAGACTCAAGCTCCATGTGAGCTCCTGGTCATCACTGGTAATCTGTTTTGACATCAAAAGAGGCACCTGCATGAACAGAAAGAATGTGGGGAGAGTGCCCTCTCCATCTTCTTGGTCACACAGGTGTTCTGCTGATATCAGAATGAGGCACCCAAGATGTTCAAGAGCTTGTTCAGGAGCTAGTACAGAGGTGTGGCCATCTGGATGTAGAAATGGTGACACAGAACTGAGGAAATAGTCCAGTGGAGCCTATGCAGTATTGGCCCAGGAGGACCATGTGGACATCAAACAATCACTAAAATTAGTTCCAGAGGTGTGTGTGATGGTTTCCAAGGCTAATCAGCAGCATTTCTGGTCCTGACTCAATTTCCAGATCTCAGGACCTGGCTTTTTAATCTCAATTTTTTAGGAGAAAGGCTTGTCTGCAAGGCCAAATAGCCCATATTTGCTATGCAGTTGCCTCTGGCTGTCTTCATAACATTCTGCAACTTCCAGTGCTTATTTCAGGGTAAACAGTTATTCAACATGCAGGGTTTTATTCCTCTCTTGCATCTGATCACCTGATCTTTCACTTAGGACACATCTACACTGCAAAATTAATGTAATCTGACATCATTTTAACTACCACAACTCAATTCTAAGGAATCATGGATGCTGAAGTTTTTCAAAGTCCTTACCTTTCTCTGCCAAACAGTCCTGGCACCTTCCCAAAACTACAAATCCCAGGATCCCATAGCACTGAGCAGTTAAACTGGCATCAAACTCTATTAATTTAAAGTCCAGATCTTTGCAGGTGTCAAATTAATCTGGAGAAAACTCAGATATCTGGTTTTCTCCATATTAATCTGTGTTTACCTGAGGTATCATTTGGATGCCTCAGGGAAACCCATGAATCAGGCAGTGTAGAAGGGCCCTTGAATTCTGGTGAAGGTGCTAATCTTTTCACTTTAAACACTTGACAAGATATGAAGGCTTACTAATGGATCAATAAAGACAACAAAACAAAACATAGTTGAAAAGTTATGGGCTCACTACATAGCTACCAATCATGTTACCCAAGCAGAAAGATTTTTTCACCTCCAGCTCAACCTGAACTACAATTACTTTATAGACATTTTTCCTCACCTCTGACCTCACTTTGCACACAAGTGCACTTGGGTGCCTCTACACTATAGAATTAATACTCTTTGACACCACTTTAACTGCCATGACTCAATGCTATGGAAGCATGGGGGCTGTAGTTAGGTGAGGCATCAGTAAGCTTTTGGTAGAAATGGCTAAAGACTTTGTAAAACTACAACTCCTATAATTCCCTAGAAGCCTTTGTATTGTCGTTTTTTTCTGAAAAATAAGTTGTATTCTCTTCAATCATTTTCCCACTCTAATTGATTAACCCATTGTAGAAGTTGTAAACTTGTTGGCTATCTGCCAATAGTTGCTGCTTCTTGAGAGGGGGGGGGGAGGGAGAGATTCAGATGATATACATTCAATAGAGAAATATAAAACATCTTTGTACTTACTGTTTCTGGAAAACCTTAATGCCCCTTGCCTCCAACCACCTTGCTTTGACTGCAACGATTCCTTGGTATGAAGTCATTTCTTTACTTGAGAGGTTTCATACTTATCAGCCACTCCTCTGGTGAACATTTCCTTACAGAAGGGTGGAGAACATTACACCACTTTCTACGTCTAAATAATGCTGGCTAGAAATGAGATATCAGTTAAGATATCACAGGTTGTTTGGAGTTCTATCAAATGAACAAATGATTGTTGTAAAGACTACACCCACAGCAGTCATGTTACTTTGTTTCATTGTATTATGATTAGTCATAAAAATCTAGAATACTTCCCACACTTCCAATCTAATACACATGGTTTGGGACTAGGGGCTCTTCCACACAGCCCTATATCCCAGAATATTAAGAGAGAAAAACACATATTATCTGAATGTGGACATGGGGTTGTTCAAGACAGACCTTTATCCCAGGATCATTAGCATTTTGAAAACGTAGATGTTCCTGGGGGGCTGTCTACACCCACCCCAGAAAGTCATGTGCCGGAAGAGATGCTTCCAAGTAGGTGTGGAATAAATCCACTATAATTAATTCACCACAAACCAGGATTTTCCTGGTTTGTAGTGAATTAATTAGGAACTGTCCAGAACATTATCTGGACAGCCCCTCCTTTATTGTGGTAGATTTCACAATAAAGGTACTGTCTGGATGGGTCCTCAGATAACCCAGTTCAAAGCAGATATTGTGGGATTTTCTGCCTTGATATTCTGGGATATAGGGCTGTGTGGAAGGGCCCTAAGACATGAGCTTTATTACATTATCTGGTAATGCTGTTCACACCGATAACAATGCTATTTTTCTATCTAACTGTACTCACAAATTTATTGGTGTCTTGAATAATAATGTCATGCATTGTTATCTTTGGGTGATTAGTAGGAAAAGGAAGAATGACCATTTTATGCATCTGCTTACATGTTTCATGATTGTTGATTAAAAGAGAAGAAGAGTGCGAAAACTCACAGAACAATGCTAGTGCTTAATGGGTGAAGGGGGAAAGGAAGAGCAATCAAGTGTCACATCCAGTCCAACACTCTGCCATGCAGTAATTGCACAATCAACACACTCCAGAAATATGGCCATCCATCCTCTCCAAAGAAGAAGACTCCATCACACTCCAGGTAGTGTATTGTTAAATAACTTTTACAGCCAAGAATCCCTTCTCAATAGTTAGGTGAGAGAGGGTAGAAGCCAGAGAAAAAGATAGGACTTGGAATATAGGAATATAGAAAGCGGGGAGCCTGACTTTCATTGGCCTGAACTACAGCATATTCAATCATACTATATTTAAATGATTTTGGGCTGTGTGATAAATTCCAGCCTAAGAAGTCAAACTCAACCAGAAGGCACAACATTCATTATGCTAGCTTTCAAAGCACAACGGCTTCTTCATCAGGAAAAGCTAGTAAAAAACCATAAAAGGAAAACAAATGATATTGTAAGAGTTCTGTATCTTGTTTTCTTAGGATGTTATATGTATATAGGGAGATTTTGTAAACACACATTTCAGTGCCCTCTCCTTTCCAAAATCTGTGAAGCAATATGGAAGAAAGGCTGTAAAAGAGGGCAGCACAATTTCCTTTCACCATTTGCAGCCTCATATTGTCTTTGAGATCTGAGATTGTCCATGGCTTCTTTGAGGCTACATACTTTTCTGACAGAATGCCGTGGTCATCTGAGAAAGTGCCTTTGTTATCAATGCTGAGATAAATATAAGTGTTGAAGCCAGGCCCGTAGCCAGGATTTCGTTTCGGGGGGGGGGGGGGAATTTTTTTCAGGGGGGTTTCGGGGGGCTGAGTTTCGGGGGGGGGCTGAGTCTGAGTGAAAGAGGGTCTAGCCTAGCAAACCTTTTGTATCATTACCCCAATACCCCCATGCATATAGGATATATTGAGTATGGTGATCAGATCATGATATGAATAAACATAACAGTTTAAATAATGCACCAGTAAGGCCTTTTCGCGAACCACCATGAGAATTTCGGGGGGGGGGGGCTGAAGCCCCTCAAGCCCCCCCCCCCCAGCTACATGCCTGGTTGTAGCAGAGAAAGTCTGTCATTAGGAACCAAATGATGTCATTTTATCTTACACTGCAAAATCAAGCCACACTGAAAGATGACACCCAGGAGTTTATCACATGAGGCAGACAAACCGGCCTTGAAACTGGACCATCTCCTGTGGTCTATATTGCATGACACTGTGTGCATACCCCTGATTCTCTGCCTTCTCACTGTGGTATTCCTTTTCCTAGTAATTAACATCAACAGCTCCCAATCTCACAATGTTCCCATCAGCTAACATGGTATAATGGGTTCCTCCTGCTTCTGCACTGGCAGTAACTTTGGGGATGTGATTGTTTTTCTCTTACCCCCCCCCTTTTTTTTTTCTATTCCCAGGCTGGCTGTTTTTCTCTTATATTATATTTTATACTTACATTTGGCTTTCTTGATTTGTTTTCAAATGCTGGTATTGAACAATTAGAATAGAACCAGAAAAGAAGTAAGAGTGATGCAGGAAGACAATGTTGTGATGGTTTGTAGAAATATAATTGTGGAGCCACAAATTTACAAATTGCTGAAATTGTGCTAATGAAAAGAGGTATGATATTGAGGGTACTCAACATTGGTATGTATTGGCTATCAACAATAATGCAATTGTATGCAATATTGAATTCATGCAATAAATGTCCACAGTCCACTTCCTTCAGTTCAGGATTCTCCAGATGAGCAGATATGGTCAATGATTTAAAATCTGAAAAGGCCCCTCCCACATTCCTCCCAAAGTGGAGGGGAAGAATCAAAAGGTGCTTCCTCCACCACTACGAGGAGGAAAGTGTATTTTGGGTAGCTCCAAAGGAGCTATCTGCACTTTCTTCCCCTTTTCCCTGTATGATGGGGGAAAAGGCAACAGGGAAATGTATGTTGCCACCCTTTCTCCCATCTGCCGGGGACAGGGTGCCAACGCACCTTGTCCCATCCCCGCCATGTGATGGGGTAAGGAGGAAAGTCATAATAAACTCATTGTGTGAGAAGGTGAAGGGGTTGAAGGTTTTTTCCCTTATGCATATCAATCTGAATTAAGAAAAGATTCATTAGAGTTTACAATCTCATACACCTAAGGTTACAGTGTTGTTAAGTAAATAGATCAATATTAACATTTCCCTTGAAGATCTTCAAATTGTAGATTTTTAGAAGATTTATAAAAATAAATATGCAGCTGCATCTTTTTTATACATTTATTTTGTACAGCAGTGCACTCACACATTGAGGATGCTCATCATAGCAAATGTTGCACCCCAGCCAGAGTCCACTTTGCCCTTAACACCAACCAGGAATCCAAAAGCAGTAGTAAAACAGTTTATTTTATATCAAGCTTGATACCCCTGTCTAGCCCAGCAGTTTCCTCTGATGAGCTATCTTGGTTTGCCAGGTCTTTATCAGGGGTTGCTAATCTCCTTGTGGGTGAAAGGTCATCTTCCTGTCTGCTGGACTCCAAAAAATTCCACTTTCAAACCCTGTCTCACAGACTGAATTTTGCCCTGAAGTCCCCTCATTTCCTCATCTAAAGAACCACCCACCACTCTCCCAGGCGCTGAAACCCCAGACCCCTCATCTTCATCTGTCTGAACAACAACATCAAATTTGTTTTGTGAACTAGGCATATTATCTTTAGACATTATATTGTCTGTGAGGATTGCTACTATAAAGCAGATGGCTTCATATAAGAAACATATTTCATAATTATAAGGTTTATGGTATTTCTATTAAATTGCATTATCTTTTAAAATAAAATATAACAAGCTGTTCTAATTCTTATCATACTCATGGTACTTTTTGGTAGTAAGGAATAACAACTTATACATGAACTCAATTCCATATCCTCTCAGTGCCACATACATGTCTTATGCTATACCAACTCATTTACCACCCCTAACTTGCTTTAAAGCTCTGAAGTAACAGGCTTTCTGTGTTTCAACATGAGCAGACAGGATCAGAAAAGTTTTGGCTACCTGCTCCAAAGGTGGATGCACAACTATGGCTGTATTGAGAACTGCTGAAGTCCCCTAGAGAAGTGGTTCCCAATTTTTTTTCCAGTCATGGAATCATTTGGAAATCCTAACTCTGTCTCTTATATTTTTGCAAAAACCTCTGATTCTGGTCCTAAGCATTGTGAATCCACACAATTCTTCCTTTTTATATCTACTCCTATTACCTGAAAGTTTTGTATAATGTAGTAGCTTTGGAAATAAAGAAATTCAAATTTTGTTTTTAAATTCAATAAGATCTTCATACTCTGGGACTGGCCTTTAAACATATATTTTAATGATTTTAAAGATTTTTTCTGGAACCCCATGATGATTTGGCAGAATACTAACAGGAAAAATCTCAGGCAAATGAGAATCTTTGTAATTTAGGCTCTTTTCTGTGTAAACATTGCATGTGATTGTTTTGTGCAAAAAACAGCATTCTGCACAGAAAATGTTGTTTTTTGTACACAATGACTATATGCTTTTTTTTTTTGCAGAATAAGTACCAAATTGCAAGTCATCAATGACAACTATGCAATTGGAAAATTCACTAAAATTACTTTTTATTGCATTTAAGAAAATCAGTGAATAATTGTATTTCATCACATAATACTCACTACCACATAATAAACACACATCCCTATTGGTGTGCCAAAAATTGTATTTTTAATTTCCTTGCATAATAGTCACACAACCCATTTGGAGCTGATTTTCCCTTCCTTCCTTCTCACTTTCTTTGAAGGCAAGGCAGTTTAAAAACTATAAAATGGAGGTCTCTGAAGCTCTACTCTTCTCTCCTCCCTCCTACAAAACCTGGAATGGAGTTCTTCGGAGAAAGGAGGGAAGATTTAAGTTCCAGAGACCTCCATTTAAATTGCATTGCCTTGGAGGAAGGAGATAAGAGAGAAGAGTGGAGCTTCAGAAACCTCAATTTTATAATTTTCAAACTACCTTGGCAATGGATAAAGAAGTAAGGAAAGCAAAGTCAACCCCAAATGGCACTCCAGTTTAAAAAAACAACAACAAATGAACAAAGCTGTTTGTTTGAGACAGGAGCATCCATGCTCCACCTCCCCTTTCACAGGTAGGGCATTTTATTTTTA